AGTTTGTTCCCTTTTTTTACCTTTTTCAGTGTGTTTTACCGAGGCTTGTCTTAAATTCTTTTTCAAAATTTTCCTTTTCATTCTCTAAAGGTAATTACTACTAAATATAAGTGTTAAATTTTTAGAAAATACTTTAAATCTCTAAATCTTAACCTCTCTAGGAATTTTTAATTCGTCATAGTTGTTAGTATTTGTTATTTGAAAATAAAAGGAAAAATGTATTTGACTTCTTTTGACCTTGATTTTGAATTCGCGCCAAGTCTAATTTCATAAAAGCTGCCTTGTTTTCACTCTCTTTCATATTCATATTTCCATCTCTTTTCATGTTCTTTTCTTTACAGAAGCTTTCAAGATGGCGAAGTGTCGTAAACGGAATTAAAGTTCCGAAATCATTATAATTGAATAATTGAAAAGACAGTGATATGTATATATTTGTGTTGTACGGTTTAGGTGTAAATGATAATTTGTAACCCTTCTGTGATATTGGGATGGCCGATGAGCAAGCAGAGCAAGAGCTACGAAGGAATTTACATATAATACAGTCAATGATTGATGTATCTGCAGAACGATTAGAAGGGCTGCGTACACAATGTGCAACAAGTGCAGAACTTACTCAACAAGAAATAAGAACTTTAGAGGTACGAAAAGAATATTTTTTCCTTGTTTCTTTTTAAATCTTATTTTATACATGTTCCGCTTTTTTCGATCCTAACCTGTAAATTACCTGTCAGACACTTGTCAAAAATCATGTATTTTTAGGGAAAACTCATAAAACTTTTTTCGAATCAACTTGTTACAAAGTCGAAGTTGAAAACTGGAGATCTAAAACACATTCCCTCCTTAACTCAATGGCTGCAAGTAGTAGGGTTAGGAAAAAATTCTATTCAAGGTCTCTGTCACAGGATCTCTTCCGTTGAAGAGTTACAAGAGAAGTCTGAACATGAACTTAGAACAATATTAAACGATCGAAATGCTAGGCCAGAAGAATTAAGTCGACTTTGTAGGGCATTACATAATTTAAAAAGATATACTGGTAAGTACTTCTTGTTTACATGTTCATTAATACATTTTATAGCATTTACAGTTGTTTATGGAGAGATAAATTGTAATGTTTTAGATGTATTAAAGAGGGGTGATAATGATGCAACTGATATGCACCTTTATTGGGACTCCTGGGATCGACACCATCACCTCAAAGGAGTTGGTCTTTCTCCAAGAGTTGCTAGGTCTAGAGCAACTCGAGCATCAGTACCTTCTGAGGAGAGTTTAGTTTTAAATAATAATAATAAGGCTTCAAACATTCTACCTTCTTCTTCGGTATCTAGTATTAATTCCTTAAATGCACAGACTGAAATAGCACCTCCTTTAACGCCACCTTTACAGACCAGAGGAAAAGGCAAGTTAAATTAAAAAATTGTGTTTTAGTGGTTTTTATTTTGTATAATAAAATAGGTATGAAGTTCCCAACAACTCCTCCTCCAAGAAGGAAACATTTAACTGGTATCCAAAATACGGGGACCCTTTTGACCGATTCATATCCTTTAACTAAGAGCAAATCACATGAATCACAACTAGCACCTTCAAAAAATGAAAATGGGGTGACAAACAATTCCAAGTAAGTTTTTTAAAAATGTCCTTTATCATTAAAGTGGATAAGAAGTCACTATTCATTTTTAATGTAAATTTTCAGTGTTATTCAGGTGAATACAGTTGGTAGACGAACAAGATTACCAACAGAACCTGGACCTGAAGGGATTGCAGGTTATGCAAGCCCTATTTTAAATAGTCCCATTAAATCACCCCCTTACAATAACGCTGGTACAGATAGTGATGATAGCAGTTTCAAATGTATGTATTTTTTTTTCTAGAATTAATTTCAAAGAAATTATTAATCGATTTATAAATTTCTTATTATTGTAATGTGTTGAATGATTGTAAATGAACATTTTTTAGCGGTGACTAGTTTACAAGTACCAAAATCGCCTCGTACACCTACGGTGATGCCCAGTATGGGTCATCAGATAGCCCATCGGTTCACCAAGACCTTTAAAATGATGGCAACCTGTGGATACTGTTCTAAACCAATTTATTTTGGAACCGGTTTAAAATGCAAGGACTGCAAGTACAAATGTCATAGGGAGTGTGAGGATAAAGTAGCTCCATCATGTGGATTACCTCCTGAATATCTGGATGAGTTCAAAAAAACCGTCCAAGGTAATGTACAGCATAAATAAGAGACATATTATTCAGTTTTTATTGAAAAATAAATGTTAATATTATTTATAGGTCCAATTTATCATTCACCCAACACTGGCAGGGTCAGTAACGCGAAAAATCTTATTAATTCGCTTACAGGAGGCCGGAAACACTCTCACCCTCAACCTTCGATGAACATTCCACCCTTTCCGGTAATGTCTATTAAAATAAAGAATATTAATTGAGCGAATATTTATGTACAATTTTTTTGTTTTAGCCCCCAGATTCAAGTTCCAATACGTCCAGTTGTAACAGTTCCACACCTTCGAGTCCGGCCCTGCAGCAGTCTCACACACCCCACTCCAGTGTGAAACAACAGTTTTATTTTCCAGGTATCCATTTTTTATTATACAATAGTTATAATCAACTGCTTGAGCAACTGAGTTTTTATGTATCCGAAGATTTTGGATAATTATTATCTGATTTTTCACTTTTATTTTATAGATGTGTCACATCAGGAAATAGGCGGCGAGGTGACGTTAGAGACGCATCCGCTTCCTTCGGGTCACAGTCGCGAATTGACCAGTTCACAGCAGTCGAAAGAAAGCGACCGTACTGCTTCAGCATCAGGAAGCACGAGTACTGATTCCGACAGAACACCTGTTCGAGTTGATTCGCAAGACAGTCAGGTGTCTGACTCAGATACGATAACCGACGGGCATAGGTGGCCTAGGCAGAATAGCGTGAGTTTCATTTTTTTCATTATTTAATAATCATACAAATTTAATTTATCATAAATCAGAGTTCCTTTTTAAGTTAAAAGAAATGGGGTAAAAGTACCTTCCAGGTTGAATTGCTGTAGTCTATATTTGGCAAACACTAGATGTTTTGTCTTCAGTGACGACGAAGTCTAATAATTGTCTCTCTGGAGATTGAAGATTAGACGTCGTTGTTAATGAAGCTCGAGGACAAAACATTTGGAGCTTTTGTCAAGTGTAGTAAAGACACTAGTAATAAAAACCTATATTGTATACGTTTTAATTAAATTATAATTAAAATTTCACAATTTATTTATCTTACAAAAATCGATTAAATAATAAATTATACTGTTGGTTTTACCTTGGTAATTTTGAAAATAGCGAGTGTTATTTATTTGCGATTTAATATTTTGTATATAATCATTGTAAAACTTATAAACGAAATGTATCTATATTTTATTAGTTGTCAATGAGGGAATGGGACATTCCATATGACGAATTAAAAATCGGAGAACCGATAGGTATGGGTAGGTTTGGAACTGTCCATCGAGGATACTGGCATGGTGACGTGGCAATTAAGCTGATTGAAATGGACGACTTAGACGATGAGAAGACTTTAGACCACTTTCGAAATGAGGTTTGAATCTTGTATTTCTCACGATGTTGTTATCTGTGAGGTTGTATTCTATTACTTTAGGTATCGACTTTTCGTAAAACTCGACATGAAAATTTGGTACTGTTTATGGGGGCATGTATGAAACCTCCGAAACTCGCTGTTGTGACCAGCCTTAGCAAGGGGATGACTCTTTACACCCACATACATCTACGCAAGGACAAGTTCAACATGAACAGGACAACCATGGTCGCCCAACAAATATCACAGGTACTCAATCATTTTATCATCAACAGTGCGAACTGAAGAAACAATAGTTGTTTAGATTATCGATTTGTTTACGTTAACAAATGTTAAATTTAATATATANTTAAACAGTGATGAAATGCTGTTTTTTGTAAAATGGCGTTTTCTCTTACTCGATTAATACCTAGTAAAGTTTTTTAGTTTGTTCACGGTATAGGGCGGTCTAGCATATTAATTGAACATGCTGGTAAAATGTTTTATTTTGTTTTATAATGTATCAGAAATTACGGTATGTATGTTTATTATTTTTCAGGGTATGGGATACCTTCATGCTAAAGGGATCGTTCATAAGGATTTAAAGAGCAAAAACATTTTTCTCGAAAATGGAAAGGTTGTAATTACAGATTTTGGTTTGTTCAGTGTTACAAAGCTTTGTGGTGGCAATAAGTGAGTAATATTTTTTTTTAATTTCCTGCAATTGCTAAAGAAAACAATTAAACATTAATGAAAGCGTATTATTTATTTAATTACTCTGTATTAAGCAGTTATTGTATTATGTATTTACTAATAACATTTATATATAAAGGAAATTATGAGTACTGTCAGCACAGGACTGCTTTGTATTACGTAGTTAGTATCGGCAATTTCTTATGCGAAGTGTACGATGTGTTGCATACCAATTCTTTAAATTTAATTTTTAACACAAAGAAAGTGATTAAACAAATTGTTCACAAAAGTGAATTTCGACCAGTCGAAGCAATGGTGCTAACAGTTTCGAGCTCACAGTGGCTGATAGGGAGGAAGAACTAGTTTAAATAACAATTATTCTATTAAATGTAAATCTTTTTTTTTTCAGAAAAAGTGAAGCTTTGGGCATTCCTCCAGGTTGGCTTTGTTACTTGTCCCCAGAAATAATGCGGAGCCTTAAGGCTCATCAGTCCTACGACGACGAGTTACCTTTTAGTAATGCGTCTGATGTTTATGCTTTTGGGTATGAAGCACTTTATCTTCTTTTTATTAATTGTATTGTTATTAATTGTTTTTCCTGCATATACCTTTTGCTAGGTTTCTCTCGTTTTTAAATAATCTTTTCATTTGTATTTTTCTTATTTTTACATTTTTCAAATTATACCAGTTGTTTATTTTGGTTTTCTTTTATTTCAGCACTGTGTGGTACGAGCTGCTATGTGGCGAGTGGCCTTTTAAGGGACAACCTCCTGAGGCGATTATCTGGCAAGTCGGCAAGGGAATGAAGCAGCCACTTGCTAACCTACAGGCTTCGAGAGACGTGAAGGTAAGGAATATTTAAAACAATAATTATTGTTTTTTTAGCAATTGTGTGAACTTTAATTTTTCTGGTAAAGTTGATATAAAAACACGGAATTTAAAAATAGGATTAGGTTTCAAGGGGTTAAAACGTTGTAGTCATCCTTCACTGTCCCCAAGCTGTACTTATTTGTAATATTTTTGATCCTTGTTCGCGGTATACGGCAGTCTATCGTATTAATGTTCACACTATTGCGAGTCTACTGTATTGTTATGTAAATGTAATTTACATTGTTTTAGGACATCTTAATGTTGTGTTGGTCATATCGTCCAGGCGATCGTCCCGATTTTATTCGTCTCTTGAACATTCTGGACAAGTTGCCCAAGAAGAGGTTGGCTAGGAGCCCTTCTCACCCTATCCACCTGTCGCGATCAGCCGAGTCTGTGTTTTAAAATCAATGCCTGTCCTTGTCGTGTTTTTGTGTGCGCGTGTTCGTGTAATTGTGCGTGCGTGTGTCCGTGTCGTCTTTTTAAGTATATATCAATTCATTTGCATTTTCCTTTAAATGCAAACTGTTTTTTTTTTCTACTTTTTGTAGTAGCTGTACCTTCTTGCCCAGTGCGTAAGATGTTTTAATTTCTTTTTATTTGTAAGTTAAAGAGATCAAATCCGGGTTGACTATTTACTTTTTTTTTTCTTTTGGAACCGAAGAATATCGAAAAGGATACTAATTTGACGCATGTTTGGTAAGTGTATTTTATTATTTTACTTTTTTCAGTATTAAGATTTCGATTATTTTGATTTAGTTATTTGTACTTTAAAATAATGANATTAAAGTCGTTTAATTTTAAATAAAAAGTTTTATGAAGCAGTACTGAAGGAGTTTTATGGACACTGATAGAACCAGCTTCCTGTCTTTTAAGAAGAAAGGAAGTTTTATGTAGAGTAAATATTGAACCTGGATTTGACATGGTGAGTAACTAGTAATGTATATAACATTGTTTTTATATGTAGTTAGTAGATTTATTCATACAGAATAAATTAAAGCTGTGCTTGACTATTCTATAATACGTTTGCGAGACTTATTTTCATATGAGAGCAATTTATACCTAATAAGAAAAATTGACTATACTATAAAAACATAAAAAATACTTTAACAAATTGTGTACATAACAAGTACAAATTCTTCGTAAAAAACGTTTTTTGGTAAGGGTTTTTATTTATTATCTAGTATTTCTCCCAGCTTGAAATGCCAGTAAAATAATTCTAAATTATCCACAGGCATTTTTATTGCCATTCTCAGGCTACATTTTACGTAAATGTGTTCTGATGTAAGAACCTTATCTTTGAATTCACGAACAAACAACCATAATTTTTATAATTTAAAATTAAAATTTCGTAACTTATTGTTTTAAATAAAGACTCTGACAAATTATAGATAGTTAATCTAACATTGAAGTTTTGAAATGGAAGTTTTGTAAAAACATTAATTATTTTGTAGGAAATGTATAATTTGCCTTTTTAATTTCATTTTTGTCAAAATTTGAGTCCCCTTTTTAGACACGATTTAAAGAGAAAAAAAAATGTGTTCCTTATCATTGATTCATACAAATATAGAGTACCCACTTTGAATATGTTTAAATAAATTATTCATTACATTAATGAGAAAAAATTACTGAAGATAATATCCGCTATTATTTATTAGATTATTTATAGTTTGTTTATTTGTGCAATAATCAAGGATTACACTTTTTATAATCTTGAATAATTTGAAATGATTGCATTTTGCGCACTCGGTCCCAGTATTTATTACTGTGATTGTAAAATTTTGAAGCATTTGTAAATATATGTATTTGCTAAGCTGTTTATTAAATTAACAATTATAAGGCACACAATTTCTTACCATTGGCGTTAAATGAAGGGTATTTTTTAATTTTTCTGGCGGTAAGATCTTTTTCGTTTTAACGAAGATAAGTATTTAATGTACAATATATCAGTACAAACCTGTCACAAAGAGAAAAAGGTTAAAATGTTTTAAATAGTTGTATAATACATAAACAAAGAGAAGTATTTGAGAAAACAAGGCTGGTAAGATTTGTAGTGCATCCCTTCGCTACCTCAGTTGTTTATTGTTATCTATTGGAACGTTTATTTGATGTATAAAATTGTTTTCTTTTTTTATTTGTTATTGATAATATAATTTAGAGCCTTCGGTTAAGAATTGTCCATACATTGTAAATATATTTGTTCTACGTGATTGATTACGAATGATAATAAGAAATATTAATACGAAGCAACGTTTCGAGTTTACTGTTGTTACTTCTTCAACTTTCAGGGAAAAAAATATTATGAGGGCCTTGCAATATTTTTTTCCTCTGCACAGTTGCTGCATTTTTGTTTCTCTGATGTTTATCCAAAATAAATTTTTCGTTTTCAACGAAAGATTTAAGTATGAAGTTAATACTGTACTTAATTAATAAAAATTTTTAGCTTTTTTTCTTATTACACCTAAAGATATCGAATTAGAAATAATAATTACCAAAATTATTTTTTTATTCGTTTCTAAAGATTGCCATTTCTTTTGCAGTTATAAGATGAAAGTAAAAAAGATTTAATTCAAACGTGCTTCGTGTTAATTATTATTTGAATATTGATCTTTTAATTAATGATAACAAACTATTGATGACTTGTACATAAAATGAAACACTATTTTCCTGTATATAAAAAAGATGATGTTTGCGTTTTGTTGGACAAAGTTGAAAAGGAAGAACTTTGTATATACGTTGCAAACATTCCCACATTGAATTTGTTTGTGCTCTAGTCAATTTAAGAGTTCTTGTGAAACTTCACGTAACATACGTAGTGCCGGGTGTTTTTTTTTTAGTCCTCCCAACAACTACGTATGTTACCTCGAATATTGTCACTTCACTCAATTTGAGTCAATGTACATTATTAAGGACTAGGGTAATAAAATGTTAATCTACCCCGAAATGAATGTTTAATATTATTATTATTCCTTCATTCTTCTCAAAATAAAGAGGAATTATAATGGGAAAATATAGATATTTTTTTTTTGTCGGTAAATTACCCGTCTAATGACAATAACAAAATAGTATTTGAATATGGAGCACATGTATGAAGAAATTTATTTTATTTAATTGTAGTCTTAGATCAGTGCACAATATAGGTAAATAGTATCAAATGTTTGTAAAAAGGGCATAATTTTGAAGAAAATCATGTATCAACCTAATGTAGCATTTTTTTACTTTACAATGTCATTTTGTTATTAGTTAGGTAATTTACTTACAGAAAATGCTTCATATATTTCCAATATAATTTTTTGTTATTTTGAAGTGGAAATTGGTCCTTATTCATATTCGTCCCTTAGAAAAACCTTAATAATATAAAAACCTGTTTAATTAAAGTTATTGTGCCCTCGTAACAGCAAAAAAGGTTGCACGTAGGTAGGACCCATTTTTGGCCCTTTGGATGGGTCAAATTTTTTATATAAGTTTGCTTTGATGGTTTTTGTAAAATTTACGATGGTGCTGTCGGGGACCAAAAATGGACCTTGCTACCAAATACTTATATTGGTAGTTAATAATTATTTGTTTGTGCATTTTCCGTGGTTTTACTGAAATTTTCTTAAAAGAAGGGTCCATTGGCTTGGTATTGATTGTATCAGTTTGGACATTTTTAAATTTTTTTATTCAGGTACATTTGAAATTAAAGTCGTTTAATTTTAAATAAAAAGTTTTATGAAGCAGTACTGAAGGAGTTTTATGGACACTGATAGAACCAGCTTCCTGTCTTTTAAGAAGAAAGGAAGTTTTATGTAGAGTAAATATTGAACCTGGATTTGACATGGTGAGTAACTAGTAATGTATATAACATTGTTTTTATATGTAGTTAGTAGATTTATTCATACAGAATAAATTAAAGCTGTGCTTGACTATTCTATAATACGTTTGCGAGACTTATTTTCATATGAGAGCAATTTATACCTAATAAGAAAAATTGACTATACTATAAAAACATAAAAAATACTTTAACAAATTGTGTACATAACAAGTACAAATTCTTCGTAAAAAACGTTTTTTGGTAAGGGTTTTTATTTATTATCTAGTATTTCTCCCAGCTTGAAATGCCAGTAAAATAATTCTAAATTATCCACAGGCATTTTTATTGCCATTCTCAGGCTACATTTTACGTAAATGTGTTCTGATGTAAGAACCTTATCTTTGAATTCACGAACAAACAACCTAAAAAACTGCCTTCGTTTGTCTGCTGTTGTCCTTGACAAAAACGATATTACAATAAAATTGTATTTTCTTGAATAGACGTACATCTTTCACCCAATGAATACGATTTGTTAACTACATTTCTTTATAAAAAGTAAATTAAAATAGATGAAAATTAATTAATTATTTTAATGAGATAATACCTTGGTAAAAGCATTTTGTGCACTCTGAAACTGTTTAGATACCTACATTTTAAAACGAAAGCATTCAGTATGAGAGTTAAAATAAGTAAATAATTTGTGCTTCAAGAGAATCAAAATTACTCATTACATTCGCTGATAATTTTAGAGAAAATTTTATTATCCAAACTTGCGTCTGCCTTTTAGGTGGTTAAAATTGATTATAAGTTGGATGCGAGCGACAGGGCCCTCAAGTTACCATTTTTTTAAGAAACCTTTTTGGGGATACAGAAAATCTTATTTTCCAAGTTTGATGAATCAGTTGTGTGTAAAAAAGTTTGCTTCAAACTAATTTTAAGTCAAAACATTCACGGAGGTTTTGAGGATGTAGATAGGTATGTAAAAAAAACGACATATGAAATCGTTCATTTGTTATATCAATTATAAGTACTGTGAACTTTTCTTTTTTGAGTACCTCTCGTATACTTCTTTACGTTCTTTGAAATTATTATTTCATTATTCTATCCATATTACAGGACTTTTATGCTCTGTTAAGAGATACGAGAAACCAGTTCACCTTTCGATGACCTTGCTTCAATTCCGTCCAGATGTATAGTTTACAGGCATTAATAAGTCTATCGCCTAGCAAAGTATTGTAACACGAGCATAATTCGAATGGAATTATTGTTGCAGTCGTCTTTTTTCAAAAACAAAGGTAAGTTGCCCGCATTTCACTTTTTCGTTAAGTTTAGTTTATTGTTATTTAACCATTGTGATCTGTTAGCTAAAACTATTTATTATGTAATTGGGCTAGGAACTTTATACTTTTATTACATTGCACCAAAAAAGTCGATAAAAAATATATAAAAGTATGCAGTTGTTTACCTAAACTTTTTCGCGGTTTTTAGTATTAGAAAGTATTAAAAATTTCTCAGTGTAATTTTTTATTTTAATTTCAGTTCGATTTCATTAACATACTTTAAATATATACTAGTTTATATTTGTTTTTCTTAACTACGATTTATAATGTTAATCATTACTTTTTCACAGTTCCATTTTATATAAAGAAGGTAAAAGAGTTTTCTCTGAAACACCTGCCCTATGTAGTATCTAGACAAGGAAGTCCCACTTTTTTCCTTATATTTCAACCAGCTTTTGACCGAAGAAAGATAAAATACTGGTATGTGCATCTGTTTTGCTATAATGCAATTTGAAATAAATTAAAAGGAAAAGTTTTAATTCTATTAGATGTGTTGATCAGAAAGTTGAAAATACATTTAAATATTATTAATTTATAAGCTTTTACATTTTTTTGTTTGTATTTAATAAATAAATAAAAAAATCAACATTACCATATTACATTGTTCTATAAGGATACTAAATTTGATATTATTAATTTGAACTAATGTAATCAATATTCCAACAGGAACATTATACACCTCTGGACACCATATGTAGTTGGATACTGATTGTAGAAATCCTCACTCTACCCCAAAACGTTGCAGTGTATATTTATCCATTAGAAGCAGAAACAGTGAGGGTAAGTGACATTAAGAATAAAATTAAGGTTTTAATTTAAGTTTAAATCGTCATAAATTAATAACTGACTAAAAAATTCGACTGGAAAAGATCGTGAATAAATTTCAACTTTTTTAATTTAATTGTTATTAGGAATACAAATATACTAATAAATTATGAAATTTCTTGACATTTTTATTGTTCTGTTATAAAAGGAAAAATGTATTTGACTTCTTTTGACCTTGATTTTGAATTCGCGCCAAGTCTAATTTCATAAAAGCTGCCTTGTTTTCACTCTCTTTCATATTCATATTTCCATCTCTTTTCATGTTCTTTTCTTTACAGAAGCTTTCAAGATGGCGAAGTGTCGTAAACGGAATTAAAGTTCCGAAATCATTATAATTGAATAATTGAAAAGACAGTGATATGTATATATTTGTGTTGTACGGTTTAGGTGTAAATGATAATTTGTAACCCTTCTGTGATATTGGGATGGCCGATGAGCAAGCAGAGCAAGAGCTACGAAGGAATTTACATATAATACAGTCAATGATTGATGTATCTGCAGAACGATTAGAAGGGCTGCGTACACAATGTGCAACAAGTGCAGAACTTACTCAACAAGAAATAAGAACTTTAGAGGTACGAAAAGAATATTTTTTCCTTGTTTCTTTTTAAATCTTATTTTATACATGTTCCGCTTTTTTCGATCCTAACCTGTAAATTACCTGTCAGACACTTGTCAAAAATCATGTATTTTTAGGGAAAACTCATAAAACTTTTTTCGAATCAACTTGTTACAAAGTCGAAGTTGAAAACTGGAGATCTAAAACACATTCCCTCCTTAACTCAATGGCTGCAAGTAGTAGGGTTAGGAAAAAATTCTATTCAAGGTCTCTGTCACAGGATCTCTTCCGTTGAAGAGTTACAAGAGAAGTCTGAACATGAACTTAGAACAATATTAAACGATCGAAATGCTAGGCCAGAAGAATTAAGTCGACTTTGTAGGGCATTACATAATTTAAAAAGATATACTGGTAAGTACTTCTTGTTTACATGTTCATTAATACATTTTATAGCATTTACAGTTGTTTATGGAGAGATAAATTGTAATGTTTTAGATGTATTAAAGAGGGGTGATAATGATGCAACTGATATGCACCTTTATTGGGACTCCTGGGATCGACACCATCACCNTAAGTCTGAACACTCATAATATTTCATTTTACAGGAACATTGTTAAAATTGTGGATACCATTTGCTATGGAATATCAGTCATATTAGTCCTTCTTCACTCCAGGATGTAGCAGTCCCTTATTGAAGCATAGAATACCTTTTGTTCACTGGAAACAGGCAGTGCCAAATGCTGTTGCAAAAGGAAAGATTTACGACGATGAATTGGTAAGTAATTATTAAAAATTAGAGTAAAATTGAGATCTTTCTAATAGAAGTTTGTATAAAATAAGTGATGCAGCGTTAAATATTAAATTTATTTATAAACTGTTAAAGAAACAATGCGTATATTTTGACTTTATGAGGAGCAGAAGATTTTGAGCATAAGAAATGCTTATTTTGCTTCTTGTAATAGTACCTTGTGTAATTATTATTTTTCCTTTCACTTTTCTCTAGGTTCACACTACGCCACTTTAAGATTTTTTACTTACTTTTTTACTTCTTTATTTAATACCAAAGTTAATTTTCGTTCTTTGTCTATTGTTCAGCAAGATAGAAAGAAAGCTTCTTTAAACATTAATACCATAATTTTCTGTCGGAAATTTGTTATAAACAAATTATCAATTTATAACTGAATTCAAGGGAACAATTTTAAAAAGTATCTTCATTTGTAATGTGGCGGTGGCGTGCTGGTTTCGTATTCCAACATGGAATTCTATCTTGGCATGTTGCTTGTTTACTCATCTACTGTAAATTTTTAGATTCTCGGTTTATTTGAGGTCTATGAATTACGATTTTGTTAAAATTATTGAATTTTGAAAACAGTTTTAAACTTCATTATCGATTTTTCATATTGATGACACGTCGTCAAAAATTGTTTTCGTTTTATAGCTAAAATCATTGATAAAAACATAGTGAACATATAACTAATATTAAGTTGTTTTGACAGATTTCCATTAAAATATAATAAATGAATATGGATACAGTGGATTGGAATATGGAGAAGCAGTCCCATTCATATGTTATTCTCTTGGGACTGGAAAAGATACATTTGTGGAAAGAGTAAGAAATCATTAATTATTTTCTGAAGTTGCATTTGTGGTTGTGATTTTCTTCTGAATTGTAATAATTAATGACAGAGTTCCTTCCATAGTCTATTATTTAATTTGTGGAAGTTACAGTTCTTAATATTGTACAACATAATATTTGAGATGAAATTAACATTTAATTATTTCAACAGGTTGTCACAAAGAAACAAAAAATAAGGATTGGAAACTTGGACTCTCCACAACCTCCTCTTATACTTGAAAGGTGCAATTTCAGTGATGTTGTGTGTTTTGCATGTTGGCTCATTTCACCATCAGTGTATTTCTTCGTTGTTAACGTTTAGGAATAGAAGTGGAGCACCCTACTGTCTACAATAATCCTGGAGGTTAGCAATTGTTTATTATTTTGACGGTAATTTTCACAGCAATGGCGATCCTTGGGATCTATGGTTTCTCTTCTGCCATCTATTGGCCTTAGCATAAATTGATGATAGCATGCATCTAAGGTAGTCTAGCAACTATTTATTGTTCACATCATTGGGTATCTATTATTTCTATTGTACTTATGCTTTTAACTTTTATCTATGAATAAAATGTCATAGGCCTTCATTTTGTAATTTGTTATTTACTTATTTTTTAGAGTAAATTTTTTGTGTTTGGCTTAGGCGTATTTAATGCCTTCCTTAATTAAGAATGTAATTAATATGTTGTTTTTGTCTTTTCTGCAGATTATCCAACAAATGAAAGAGACTAATGTTCAACTTGGTCATACTGAAACAGTCAAGGTCTACAGTGGTGTTGTCTTTTGTGAACTATATATTCGTGATTTGCTGTTTTCGTCTTCAGCTTGCAACATCATGAAGTTAATTTTCAACTGATAAATGAGAGCAACAGGAGATTTACNCTTTCTGAAACTAAAAATACACTTTTTGTAAATGCAATGCATCGAAATCGATTTGAACTGATAAAACGGTACATGTCAATAACGACAATTAAACAAAAGATGACAAATTTGGAAATGTATGGCCGCTTATATATAAATGAAAATTAAGAGATTTTTATACTTTGCAGAAATCCAAGAACAACTTAGCATTGATGAAAGCATGGTGCCATATTTTGGTTACCATGAGGCTAAACAGTTTCTGAAGGGAATATCAATACGTTTGGTCACAAAATATGGTGCATGTGTGGACCTCTTGGTTATGCAAGGAGTTTTGAGTAAAACCAAGGTTTGGAAAAGAATATTAAAGTTTCTATTGGTGTGCATGGGTCAGTGGGTAACGGATTTTGTCGCTCAATTATCTCCTATTATTCCCTTTAATCGATAAAACTGGTACACAGACCAAAGCAGAACGGTATTAGTTATACAGGTACGATGTGCGAAATCAATAGAAAAGAAAGATCAAGTATACTAATAATTTTGCAGTGATGTAAAGAACGATTTAACAGTAATAGTGTGGCATGTCAATCGAATTGTTTTGACACTTAGTAGCTGTGACAATTCTGCCCTGAAAAAAACAAAGTGCAAGTCTGCAATGGTACAGATATTTTTCAGTCGACTTACTTTTCACACTTGCAAAGTTTAAAAGGCTATATTCTGCACTGAGAATATTAAAGTTAATTAAAAATTTGTGGTTATTAATCCATTACCAACCTATCTGTTTCAGATTTACAGTAAAGAAGAAAAAGAAGAACCTGCAGTTAAAATGTTTCATTATTTTTTTTTTATTAGTTTTCATTTAACATCTTTCTTGTTTACATCTCCGCTTTGCTTACTGCTCATTCTTCCTAATTTGCTTCGCATTTCTACATGATGCAATGTTTCGTTATCATGTTCTCTTCTCTTCTTAGCCATGTGGGAGGAGGAAGGGCCGCCTCGAACAAATCCCCGTGGCCTTAGCTTTTTAGTTGAACTTAAAAGTCTCTTACACACTTTTCGCGAGTCTACTCTAGCATCACTTCCTTACAGGGGACAGGGTACAGTGGATTATTTGGAATAGAAGCAATAGGCGACTGTCCAGTTTGCCTTGGCCAAATCTGTCCAATCTTCTCTACCAAATCTATTAGTCGTTGCCGTTAGTCCTGTTAATTGCACTATTTACTTTTAGATTCCCTAAGAAGAATGAAGACATCGTATTTTTTGTTTTTATTGTGTTTTTTTCTTTAAATTCCATTTGTTTTCTTGTCTTTCTCTTACAGGTATTTTGTGTTGTAACTTTTATAAGTATAAGTATACTTTGTAACTTTTATAAGTCATTATAAACTGTTATTTATGAGATATTTTGTTTGTATCATGTGTTATACAGTTGTTTGAAATAAATATCGTTGTAATAGATGTAATTTTTGTCTAAATAAATAAAACTTAACTCATTATTGTTTTATCATTTGCGTGTTTTACCTGTGTAATAGTTGTTGAATGCATTTAAAACAAAGTAAAATAAATAAAAGTTAAATGTGTGACCTTAGATCGCCTTTGGTCAGTGTAATAGTTGAATGGATTTAAAACAGAGCAAAATGAATAAATTAAGTTAAATATGTGATCTTGGATCGCCGTAAATCAGTATTCATATATATTTTCGGAACCTTAGTGATTGCAGCGCCCTCTAGCGGGGGATAGCTGAACTACTTCGTTCGTCGATTTGTCGCCAGGGGGGCGCGACCGTGGCGCCTCTTTTGACAAACCGTCGAACTATTGGAGTTCAAGAGCGTACAGCTAGATGGCGCTGCAGTCGCCCAGGGTTTGAACCAAATACGAGGGTTGGTCAGAAAGTAATTGAAAAAGATCCTACCCAACTTATGCTCTCCTAATACAAATGTTGGAATTTATGAAAATTTTCGGTTTTAAGCCAAATACGAGGGTTGGTCAGAAGGTAATGGAAAAATCAAAAATTGTTTTCTGAAATTTTGTTGTTCCATAACTTTTCGACCGGCCCTCGTATATAACAGAAAACTGAAAATTTTGTTAATTCTGAATATTTGTATTAGGAGAGCATAAGTTGCAAAAGGTCTTTTTAAAAGTTCCAATTTTTAGCGCGGGTTCAACTATATGGCAGTCTTGTTTTTCGTTTTTCTACATCGTCCGGCTTTGAAACGTTTAATTGTACTATTACTATCATAATTTATGGTCATTTCCAGTATTATAACTATAACTTAAATTTCTCAAAAGATGTCTTAGTGTTATTTTTAATAAATAAAACGCTGTTTATGCTAAAATGAGGTTTATTCAGCAATTTTATTATATATTATGATAACAAACTATTG